TTTTTTTTGGTCTTTCAACTTTGTACATACGTTTAACGTGGAGGAAAGTATGTGCACCTGTGTTTTGGATTGTCAGGGCCTTTTTTTTCTTTTTTTAATGTTTCTGACTTGTGTAATTTTATAGCTATTCCTCCAATTATTATATGGTTAATATCCGTTTTCTTTTAGTAATCTGAATTCTTTCCTTTTTTTTTTTTTTTTTTTTTTTTTTTTTTACATTTTATCATGTAATGTATTCATTATTTTACTTTGTGATATGATGATATCTAGAGACTTAATTTTAGGTTCACCTAAATATTTAGCCACTTGTCCCAAAATCACTAATTGAATTATTATTTGATTATACCACAGTTTTGAAATACTGTCTTTATTATAGACTAAAATTCTTCTGTATTCTTGCATGTTTCAAGATTCCCAGTGCTGTTTCATCGATCTGTTCTTGTACTAGTATCCGCTATTTTTTTAAGATTTTTTTAATTTTTATTTTTAAGTAATCTCTACACCCAGTGAGGGGCTCGAACTCACAGCCCCAAGATCGAGAGTGAAATGCTCCACTCGCTGAGCCAGCCAGGCACCCCTCCACTGTTTTAATTAATGAAGTTTTATTACCTCATTACTGGTGAGGAAAGCCCCTTATTCTTTTGCAAACTTTATTGGATTTTATGCATTTTTACTTAAAGATATACTTTAAGATTTTTTTCCCAAGCCCTAAGTAACCTTGTTATTCAATTGGAATGATTAAAATATTATTTTTAATTGGAAGTATTAAATTTGCAGCTCAATTTGGAGAAAATTGACTTCTTTCAAGATAGGAGTATGATATATCCCCTTCCCTCTATAATATATACATAATGATAAAATCGCACTTTTTTAATTAAAACAGACATGAGAAATGTAGCTTAATATTCCAAGTAACCCATGGTGTTAGACTTGAGACAAGTCTACAATTGTTGTAAGTTATTTATTTTGTGCTTAATGATACACAGTAAAGTTTTCTTTAAATACTTTCAGTTAGTGCATTTAGCTTCATTAAAATACCATAGAGAGGCTTTGTATTTATTTTCTCATGCCCTACATAGTTACCTTTGTGACTTCCAGTAACAGGATCCTGAAAATAGAATGAAAAAAATGCAATTAGTTTATAACATTATAATGAATAGTTCATTCATTAAAGGAATTTTAAGAATACCTTTTTGAAATGAGTAACTCAACATAGAGCAAATAGTCAACAGCTTAATTTCTTTTTTTTAAACAGTTCTTTTTTT